TGGCCAGCTGCGTGAGTCACAAAAAGGCCTGCTGAACAAAAAGCGTACGGAACAGCAAAAGGACTCTTACCTCTGGGGGGGCGAGAGTGGTCAGCATTGCTAGCAAGCACCAAAAGAAGAAGCTGGTCAAAACTGCGGACACAAACCACGCACAAGTTTCTCCTAAACCCTAAGCCCTGAGCCCTAAGCCCTAAGCCCTAAGCCCTAAGCCCTAAGCCCTAAGCCCTAAACCCTAAACCCCAAACCCCAAACCTCCAAACTCCACACCCCCCAAAAACATCGCCAACCCAGGACCTGGTCGCCCGAGGAGGAGCGTCGGGGCCCCGTTTTTTTTGTTCATCCAGGCTTTTGTAAGGGGCTTATAGGGTTTGGGGTTTTAGGGTTTAGGGTTTAGGGCTTAGGGCTTAGGGTTTAGGGTTAGGGTTTAGGGCTTGAGTTTAGGGATTAGAGTTTAGGGTATATGGGGGGCTTCGAAGGTGGTTGACGGCTTTTTCAAGGCGTTGAGGCTTGAGGCTCTTGGGCTGTTTGCTGAATTCGAGCTATCCAGCGCAAGCAAGGCCCCAAGGCTTTCAAGGCACACAAGGCCCCCAAGGCCCTCAAGGGCTTTAAGGGTAAGCCCCCAAGAACCTGCAAGGGACCCCCAAGAATGCCCAAAGGCCCCACCCCTGCCCCAAGCGCGTCGTGAGGTCGGAAGGCTCGGGACAGCTTGCGGGCGAAGGTGGCGCCCAAGGCGAAGGCTTCTTTTCGGCGTGGTCCTCTCAACCCCGAAGCCCTCAGCCCTAAACCCTCAGCCCTAATCCCCAAATCCTATGAGGGGAGCTTCGGGTCTCAGCCCTCTCTCTCTTTGCCTGCCTGCCCGTCTGTCTATCTGTCCGTCCGCCCGTCCGTCCGTCTCTGAATCTCGCTCTCTCTCTCTCTCTCTCCGTCTCTGTCTCTCTCTCTCTCTCTTTTTCTCTCTCTCTCTCTCTCTCTTTCTCTCTCTCTCTTTCTCTCTCTCTCTGTCTCTCTCTCTCTCTCTCTCTCTCTCTCTCTCTCTTAGTCTGTTCTTAGGGCTTAGGGTCAAGGGCTTAGGGCTTAGGGCTTGAAAAGCCAAATTCAGGCTCTGGAGGCCCTTGAAGCCTCCGAGTTGAAGGCCTAAATACCCCGAAGACTTAAGATGCCCCAAACCCTACACCCTAAACCCTACACCCTAAGCTCTAAACTCTAAACCCCCAAAACCTAAACCCTAAGCCCTAAGCCCTAAGCCCTAAGCCCTAAGTAAGCCCTAAGCCCTACAAGCCTAAGCCCTAGCCCCTAAGCCCTAAGCCCTAAGCCCTAACCTAAGCCCTAAGCCTAAACCCTAAACCCTAAAACCCTAAACCCTAAGCGGGCTGGAGGCTGCGTTGTCAGTCGCCGCCGGGCACCAAGGCCCGGACAGGGTCGAAGCCCCAAATCCCCCCCGCCCCCCCCCCCCCCCCCCCCCCCCACCCAAATTCTGAAGGGTTCGATGTTTGGGGTGTAGGGTTTACGGAACGCTCGTCCCCAAACCCCAAAGCGTTTCAGGGTTAGGGTTCCCCTAAACCCTAAACCCTAAACCCTAAACCCTAAACCCTAAACCCTAAACCCTAAACCCTAAATCCTAAACCCTGAACCCTAAATCCCAAACCCTGAACCCTAAACATGTTGTAGTTCAGCTTCGGGTTTCGGGTCCAGCTGCCTAGGCTGTGACCCATATGAGGCTAACTGAAGTCCATGGGTACTGCCCTAGGTTCCCCCTGAAATAACCTTAATTAGGCTTCATTATCCCTAAGTAGCCTTCATTATGGGGGCAACCTAAGGGGGGGTAGTATAGAGGGCGGTAGTAGCCCTAAACCCTAAACCCTAAACCCTAAACCCCAAACCCTAAACCCTAAACCCCAAACCCCAAACCCCAAACCCTAAACCCTAAACCCCAAACCCTTGGGGTGGGGGCAGGGGGGGGGGGGAGTCGGTGCAGCCCTCCCCCAAGTGCACTGCTGCGAGGCACGCCGCGAGATCTGGATCCCCAGTGA